AAATGATTCCGTTGGAGCTGACGTTTGCACTGCAATAGTGTGGCGCATATCATGCATGCATTAACTATTTGCACGCAGAATGATTTTGTGAACTGCACATTGAAAACTAAGTCAAAAAGAAGCTCAAGCTATGTACTGATGAAAATGTTGGATATCGGTAAGCTTGTCGACATCGTGGTTGATGCAGGGGAGCGCTTAACAGAATCATCGAGTCAGGTCGCGGCCCCAAAATAGTGGCAAATGGAGCGCGTCAGAAAAAAGTGTCATGTCCATAATTGGAACACTGATAAGTTCTCATTATCAAAGCTTTGAGAAAAATCGAGATTTTGAGCAGACTTCGAAAATTTGGACAAGCTTTAACATAAAACCAGAACAGAGCTTAACCTGCCACTCTTTGGCGAGGAAAATAACATAGCGGCTTTGCCGTCGTGCGTGACTTCTTGATCATCACCAACTTGCCATTGCCCCTCCTGGTTCAGGATTTCTCATTTCTCGGGGAAAATGACGAGGAGTTTGCTTGCGTGTCGTCCGCCGCTCTTCTTACAATGATCCATTCTTCTAAAGTTAGGTCAATGTGTTGATTCTTTCTGAAACCTCGGCTATGAAGGTTTTATTGGTCCCTGATCTCAAAAAGGGCATTCATTTCGGCGCCGTTGTCATGTGGCCGTCATTAGGGAGACACTTTGGCAACCAAATTGTCCCTGCTGGATTTCAGCAAAACATCCTCGCGAGGACCACAGTCCTAATGTGAAGGATGTCTTTTGGCGCTGGCGCTATTTGGCACCCATCTGAATGCGCCAACATGAAATGCAAAATTTTGTCAGTCGTCACGAGAAATCGAGCTTTGGACCATTCCTCCTCTTCTTTCCTCAGAAGATCTTCAGCAGAAACGAAATCCGGTGCTATGTTCCATGAATATTCCTACAAAATACACGAAACCGTTACTGAAAAAAAAAATGCTGCTCGAACACCTCTTGTTAGCTGACAGATGGGTGATCCGTAAAAAGTTTGGGTGGGGGCTATGGCGGCATGTCTCTACAAAATAAGCCAAATTCACTCGCTCCGTGCTCGTTCGGCAGGGGAGATTTATCCATTTGTTGGATATTGGTTGGGTTCCCGGCTTACCCACTGCTGAATGTTTGTTGCTCTTATTTTTTTTGTGCTGAATTTACGTTCTGTAGTTGCATCTTCGCTCACGTCAATCGGGTAAGTACGTTAAAGAAACCGGTGGTTCTTGCGGAATGGAGGATACCCATTTGGTTGCTTTATTTTGTGGCCTATTACTTAACCATGACGAGCAACGCGGAGGGAATATTTTTATCCCGCGCCATTTGCAAGGCATGTCGACGAACGTAGACGGAGATATATGATCCCGAGGCAATACACCATTTTTTTTCGGCGCGGCCTTGATTCTTCTTTATGGAAGTTTCTTGTATTCATTCCATGGAAGAGACCTTGACGTAGCTACAAACATAGTGGCCCTTAGAATGGTCACGTATACTTTAATTTAGAGGAGGATTTCTGAACCATACGAAATCTTCATTTCAATAAATTTTTCGTTTACTTTTTCTTTTTATTAATGTGAAGATTTAAATAGTAGTAGAAGTAGATAAGGAACCTTAGGGATGACAATATGTGTGTTTTGATTGGAATAATCAACGTAAAATTGCTTTTGAGGTCCATTGCAGCTAGTTCTGATAAATTTCGCTTTTTCATTGTTACTCCATGTCTTTCGATCGAAATTCCACTACTGTACCCCTGGTTAGGTTGCGCTCATTACAATTTACTGATTTGGTTTCAAATTTATCATTAGTTGTGTATTTATCACTCAAAATCTGCTTGAACGACCTGAGGCGAGCGCGCCCGCAAAATCGCCGCGGTCCCACGTGGCCAAAAAAGCCAAAACTCGCATTGTCGTCAATGTGTTAAACAGTAACCTATCGCCAGATTTTGTATTTGAACTGCGAGTTTCAGTCGCGCTCACCTGGTACCACAGACATCACTGCGGTGGCATGGAAGGATCTTGGCCACGTTCTTCGACACAAGTTCACGTTAGTTTCTCACATGCTTTTCTCCGTTGCTCATCAAAACTGCATGAACGGAACAAGTTTTTGTTCAAACGGCTAGGTTCACGAATGGTCGAATATGCTTCACTCACGCAAAGTAGTAGCTGCGAGTAAGGTGGTGAGTGATCACAGCGCGAAGGGTTTTTGAATGATGGACGCTTCGAAATTACTTTTCAAATCCAGTACAGCCAAAGCAAGTGCAACTTATATTTTCTGAGTAATTTCTTTGAAGACTCTTCACTGGAGCACGTCGTCCACTATCTGACGCCGATCTAAACTACCTCTCCGAAAAATTGCTTTATCCAGAATGTTCATCAAAAGCAGTCCACTTTCATCTTCGATTTCGCCAAGAGTTCGCTCTCCATACCACATTTACTTCATCAGTGACATCATGCATCTCTCTGGTGATCAACAAATACGAGTTTTTCTCTCAATTGAGGTCATGGGCGTATTTTGTTACAGCAAATCTTTCGCGGGATGAATGGTCTACAGTTTTCGTTTAGTTGGGGAAGTTATACGAAATTATGCAGCTCATAAAGCAGAAGTTACTGAAATTTTGGGACGAAGGTGAGTGGTCACAATGTAACTCTTGGTCTTGCGTGGTCACGTTTCTTTGCCCATCCTAGATGTTTGAGCTGTATAGTGCTGGTCTGTGGCAGATCTATTTTTGGATGGAAATTGATTAAGGGTTGCCGCTATATCCTATGTTCAGTTTATGAGTTGGGGTGGGAGGTTGTATATCAACAGCCATGACGCTCGCAGTCCCATTGATGATGTAAGTCTTCGACCTTCGTGCGCGCCCTCAGTGACACGCAAGACGGGCGCAGCGTCAGCAATAAGGATTTGCGGAAGAACGTGTGTGGGAGGATGAATGATGGGTCAGAAAGGTTATGAGTAAGGATCAATACGGAAGACATTCCGGCTCCTTATTGAAACAGTTCTGGATTTTTGCATTTGTTACCGTTCGAGGCATAGTGAAATGAGACCGTTCAAGATAGAACTTTTTCAATGTGGCAACATTTATCATCTTAAGGAATCTCGACACAGCTAATATCTCTAGCCTCAGCGCAATAGCGAAGCTGTCCTCAATTAAAGGAGATTAAGTGAGTTGATTGTTTGTGTTTGACCTCGCTGTCACCTCACTGTTTTCGAAGATTCTGTCGCATGGGGTATGCCTTCTGACTTCGGAGATGTTCTGGTTCGCAGTCCGGGTCCTAAAGGCAGTGAGTACGATGGATGGAAGGCATAACGGTTTCTGTAACGTCATTGAGCGTAACTAGTGAAAAGTTATTTTAAAGTGATCTCACACCTAGGCCACTGATGATGTGATGACTTCGGGCGGATGGGTGGCGCCTTTTGGGAAATAAAGAGTGATTGAATGTCTCTCTTATAGCAAACAATACAGTGGTTCAGTGGACAATTTTTATCCTTAAGACAGAAAAAGTGATGTACTCTGTTGCGGGCAGAACAGTACCCGAGAGACATACCTTTAAGCCCAGCCCCCAAGGAGCGGAGGTGGCCCAGCGGTTCTGAGCCTAAGCCAGAACAGATGATGTCTAATGACGTGAACAACCCCTCTACCCTACGGCCACCGTGTTCTATGCCTTTGAGATACACTTTGCTCTGTTCCATTCAATCTTCACTTGATACGTGTATTCGCCATGAACTTATTCAATGGAGTAATTCACAATAAAGTCGATGGTCGAAGAAGGCAAAATATATCTAGCGGAAAGGCAGGCGTACCCTCTCAAGATGTGGGACGGTGCGCGCTTTGCAGCGAAAGGATACCCCCAGCGACCTAGCAGGGCCATACCCTGCCGCTCGCGCTACTGCCTGCCCAACCCTTCGCCTTCTGACTCTAGCCGCTCTTGCTGAGAGGCGTCAGCTTTGGAAAGATCAGCACCGATAAGACATGACTAATTCGCAACTCAATGGGCAAAAAGAGGGTCTTATTTCTAGGCAGGCCGTTTTTCTTTTTTTCTCCTCTCCCCGCATCACTGATTGACCTCCACTGACCTCTACTTTGATTTCTAATGGTATATTTTCATGGTGAACTCGACCTCAAAGGCATTATTCAGATATCTCTATCCTCACATGGACAAGGATGAGATGCTGCGATATTTTGACAGCGAGGAGCGGAATCGTGGTGGTCCTGACAGTCCGACGGGATATATCCAGTCTGAAATAGTCATGGTTGCAAAGACTACTAAGTGAGGCTTCTCTCCACCTAAAAAATTCGTGAAGACAGTCAAGAGTTGAGCATCGAAAACGGTATGCTTTTCTAGTAAACCGTCGTCGTCCTCCGTTCTCAGCGGTGGAGACTCACCTTCGCCTCTATCTGTGCAGTCGAAGTTGGACTGGTCTCCTGGGGAGGTGATTCAGCCAATTCAATCAATGGATGTGTAAGTTTATTTATGTTCTCGATTGAGAACGGTCGAAAATCGTTCCCTTTTTTGCTAAATTGTTCTGAATTATTGGGGGATTTAGCAAGTCAATCCAAATCTCATTCTCTTTTCTGCTTTGGGTCATTCTTCTTTTTCACAGTTAATCATTTTGGCGACATTCTGAATGTATTGCATTTGGAGTTACTTCTCTACTTTTTGCCATTCTATCCCATTTCACTCGAAAAATTTTGTTTGGTTTTCTTCCGCCAGTAGTGTGGAGCTCGCTAGAAAAAAGTGCAGTCTGTTTGTTTCAGAGGAGATGATCTCGCCTCGATGCTCTCATCGTCCGGTCTTGACAGTTGCAGTGGCCAGGGAGACGTCGAATCGCTGCTCGGTCCTGGTTTCAGACCACAATTACCTTCTCAACCTCTCCAGCATATCGACCTGTCGTTCGTCGACTCTTACAATAATCCGGCATTTTACCGGCACGAATAGAAAGAGAACAAGGCTTAGTCTTGGCTATTGTGATCGTGCACTTCTTGTCGTGAAGGACTTGGTTTTGTGGAGTGCTCCTCAGATCGAACGTGATCCTTTCTCGAATGACCAGTCTGCACCCCGTCCGCATAATACGACGTTGTTGTGGCAGGGTGACGAGGCTCTATCGAATTTGTCTTATGATTCTTATTGCACTTTGTGCCCTAACTGATGTGTGATCACCACCAACGAAATTGTGCTCGTTCCTTTACTCGGTTTCTTTCTCACTGAATGTGCAACTCGGAATTTCGACATACATTTGATTTATACAATTGCAACATTTCGAATGTCAATCTTCATGTGACGATAGGGTCAATTTTTTTGTTGGTAATCTTTCAGGAATTTAGGTAACCGGTTGTTCTCTTCATTGCAATATATCTTCGATCTTTTGCTCGTCTATTCCCTCACATATCGCATCTATTACGCTTTATTTTGGCCATAGGCCCACAATGCTGGCAGATCTGATCTACTGTTTGATGTTGCATTCTAAGACGAGATCTCTTGAAACCTGTACTTCATTTAGAGTTATGAATAGTTTAGGTTAACATGAAGAGATTCTATAAATTGTCCACGATGTGGCTGCCGTGATTTTCTCGATTCTGTACTTCTGATTGTCTATCAGAAATGAATCACTCCAAGGTTTTTCTCGAGTTCATCGTGGAGTGTGCTTTTTGGCTGTAATGGATCGGTCCGAGACCGTATCTTGCTTTTTTCATACGACCGCTCGTGTCGAGTACTGCGAGCGCTGCTCGCTGCCCACTTTGGGCATGTTCGCGAGTTCGGGTAAGGATTACTAAACGTGTCGCTTTTGTTATTTTGTTGTACCGTTTATCAATGTGCTTTCGAATCGTCTACAGATGCCGCCTGGTCTCATCCACAGGCATTCGGAAGAACTCTCGTCGTTCGTTGTTATCGTCGCCTCCAACCCATTGATCCGTCACGACGTCGCCACCAGTGTAGAAGAGTTTTGCTGGCCGAATGACTTTTCTGAACGGTAATTAAGTTAAGGGTTAATTTTGAATGTGCATGATTTCATATTCATTTTCATACAATAAGAGTACTGTACAGTACGTACCAGGGTGAAAATCGGTCGAGGAATCCTCAAAGGCATAGGATTTTCGGCTCGGGATTTTCGCCTGTTTGTTCACGCTTTCTCCCGCGCGGCGATATGATCGCTCGGCACCGCCAGCCGGTGTTGCTCTCCATTTAGGGGCGGGCTCACCAGACAATACCTTAACCAATTTTTTTTTTTTTTGGGTCGCGGCGCGGCGGACGCTACGCGAGTCGGATGATATGCCCGCGAACCGTTAAAACTGCCAGCTTCGAGTGTGCACGGCGACACTGTCGGTGTGATGTTTGCGGGCTGATCACTAGTCAACCGGCCGCGTCGCCGCGGGCCCGCGCCCAAATGGCTTTGGTATTGTCTCGGGCGGCCACTTCGTGCATTCACTCCAGATTACTACTCTCAAAGAGTTCTAGAGCATTTGTGGGAACGCTAGGGGGGGTTAGTGACGGGCGAGTTATGTGTGATGGGAATCGGGGAATTTGGGAGTGAGTAGAGGGATAGGGTGGGATCGGGGGGGTGAGGAGGTAGAGGGCGTCGGGAGCGCGAACTCGCGGTGCGACCGGTTCACCTGGGATATGGCTCGTTTAAACAGTGCGTCCAAGTGTATTCTCATTCATTACTTTCCATAACACGTAGCTGGCGTTGTCAGTGCAATTCGATATAGTACGAAAGGGCAGACTAGACTCCAAAATGTTTTGAAAGACTCTTTCCATTATAAACAGACCTGACTATGGGTTCAACCAACCCCGCCCTATTCGTAATTCTACTCGAACTTCAGTGAGCTGTTTTTTTTGATATCGTAAGATGACTGTTCTCGGCACAATCGTGCGGCTCTCTCACAAGTGATAGCTTGAAAGGGAGGGCATGGGTTATGGGGAAAAAACTAGAGCGAGCTTGGGATTAGTACAGATTAATGGAGTGCCCTTCCCCATTTTTGTGTGTACATGGAACAGACAGAAGAGCGGCTGAGCGTGCAAACACGGGGGTGCCACGGGGATCTTCTGATCGAGGGGCGACGAGTGCCTTTTTGGGGGGTGTGACATGGAAATCAACCGTTCCATGGTTGGACTAATAGTGGGCACACGGCGAGGAGGTTGTATTTTGCGAATTTTCGGTGGTTTGGGAAGGGGGTCGGTATATAGGCGGTTCAAAAGAGCGTGAAAAGGGTCGAAGAACGGCCAATTTTTTCGAAGCGACGAGAGGTGTGAAGTGAGGAAAAAGGGGGGTGTCGTATATGATTGAAGTTATTTTGAAGAAAGCGTTGAACTCTCTTGATCCACGCCCACAGCCCGTTTCCTCCGTTTCGCCGCCCGCGCAGCAGTACGTTGGTTTTGGAGGAGACATGAGGATGAGGTGAAGTTGGATGGTCTCAGAATCGAATGCTTATCTGTTTCTATAAGTAGGTAATGGCGCGGGTGGTGGTGAAGAGGAAGCTCCTGAAGAATTTTGGAGTCAGGCAAACGTGCCAGCTGACCTTGGAATTAACGGAAGTTCCTTCCCACAGCCTTCCCAGTCGACCCACTTTTAAAGTTTAGGGGTGAAGTTGGAGACGAAACGTGGCAGGATCAAGGCCTAACAACAACTCCGACGTCATCATCCTTCGGAAGGGATAAAAGGACTAGATCGTAAGAGGAGTCGTTAGAGAATTGGGCAGGGAATTATCGTGTTGACGAGAATTTCCTTGACATCTGACTCAAGAATAATTTTTGCTTATACCTGTAAATTGTGACTGGTCTTCCTCCCATTTGATTGTCACCGGATTGAACCATAACGGGGTGAGCGTGATATGGCTCTCTCGCTTGCACGTTGCGTATCACGTCATTGATCTGAAGTAATCATTTGACCATTTGCATCGAGATGAGACATTCTGGATATAATCATAGTTAGGATGTTCTTCGCCACTTATTACACTGCTTCGATGCAGACTCCCAGTATCACTTCAGTAGGAATTTTTCTCTATTCCCTCCGGCCGGTTCGCTCCCTCTTCTGTAAAGTGATATTATTAGGTTGGCAAGAAAGTTCTGCGACACTCTTTCTAAAATTTTCTTTTTGAAAAATTCATAGGTAACATTTATGACTAACAAATGGTAGAGCATTCTCGTGGCTTTAATCCACGAGGTGGATATAAGTGCTGCAGTCAGTAGTTATCCAAGAAAATTCAAAAAACCCGACCACTGGTTAGTCCACAAAATCCACACCTTACCACTGGTAAATCCACACTCCGAGTCACTGTCTAGTACAAATGTCTCCATAACTATGGATTCGTGTCAAAGACCAACACTATCTGCAATAGCTTCAATAGGCATGCCGTTCACCGCTACAGCGTGTTTCACCTTTACCAGCGCTTTCGATCTTTTGATATTTTTATAAGAAGCCAGCAGCGTCCCGCACACTCCATTACAGGCTCTCTACGGAAGCTCCACTACAAATTCTTCGTTATGGGCACCATTGTGTAGGTAGAGGTCTAGGCTGCGGAACTCCAGAAGCTGGCCGAGGCAGCTCGTCAGGAGCCCTCGTACCGCGACAATATTTATTTCTTTCATGACATTGCGAATCACCATGATCCGAAATGAGCCCGGTAAGAAATTCTGGAGCTGCGGCAAGATTTCTTACCTCTCTTAGCGTATTCCCCTGGTCGAGCTATAAATGACTGCCACCTTTAAATCATCATCTTGATGACGAAATAATTAGACGATCAACTCCAACTCGAAAGTGAGGTCGCCTCCTTTCTCGACCCGCACTCCGCTGGGTTTTGGCAAAGGAGCATCAAGAAATTTTCTGAGCGTTGAAGACAAGTGGTGGACACTCATGGTAGATATAAGACCGGTCAGGAGTTGTAAACAAAAAAGATAAAATTAAAATCAAAAATTTGAAAAAGTGTTGCAGGACTTTCTTTCCAACCTAATATATAGCTCTCGCTCCTTTACGGTTCATCACTTGAAAAAGGTTTTTTATACACTGAGTTAGTGCCATAAGTTCTTTTTAGCACAACTTTGAAAAGTTTTTTTTTTGTTTCCGATCTTCTATTTGTGCTAGCCAGTGCTATAATAGTATTAGTGAGGGCCTGAGGCGGGGCATCTTTGCATATTGACACAAAATGAGCGGGTTTGTCGACCCAGCAGTGGTCTTCAAAAACCTTCTGGAAATTCGGAAGGCGCGCATGGCAGGGAATAGTGAAATGAGCAGCCTTTGCTTCAGATGCAAAGCCATGGAGGCAAACAAGCTTACACGGAATATGGATGGAAACGTCTTCTCGACAAGGAATGTGCCCCCATCGTCACATTTTTTTCCAATTTTCCTGGCTGTTTTTGTAGGAAATTTAATGGATTTACCTCTCTTCCTCGCCAAATGCGCCGTGCGATCACTCGCGGCTCTCCAATCAAAACTACTGTGGGCAGGCGTGAGTCAACCTCGCC